CCTGCTGCAACTTTTACTAAGGGGTTGGCAGGAAAAATGATGGGTAAAGTCAGATTGAGATATTCTGCTGTTTGTGTTCAGACATGTAGCTCATCCTTAAAATTTCATGAAGTTTGCAGGAATCTTCTGCAAGTGTAAAAGCACCATAAACAACCTTTGCAGCAGAGTATTGTAAAGTGTCTCAGTTTAAAAAGTGACCCTGTAAACTGTCGACTTTGACAGCAGCAGCTGTTAAAAAAGGAGAATCCTCACAAATGCCCTTTTGTTTAGTTTTTCCATTATAATACCTAAATATAGCCATCAGATCTGTTTTTAATGAAAAACACACCTCCCCTCTGCTGGTACTCTGACCCTATAGCGTTTACGTGCATACTGCATCTCTCGTCTGCATCACACACACACACACACACACACACACACACACACACACACACACACACACACACACACACACACACACACACACACACACACACACACACACACACACACACACACACAGAGTACATATAAGGGAAGCAGTACTGTGTGGGAGCAGGCAGGGGATGTGGTTGAAGTAGCAGGAGTCTCAATACCAAGAAGTAGGTAGTCTGTACAAATAAACAAACCAGCAGAGAGGAGGTGGAAGACAGGTCAAAACCAGGCGTATGGGATGGTAAACCCGTGAAGTGTCTTAAATATCTAGTACAGAGGTAATATACTGCAACTTTAAGTTTTATAACACACATCTGGAAAGTATTTGTATCTGAGGTGTTGTTCCTTGAGTTACCCAGGAAATCTTTAAATCTAAGACAACATCCCCCACAGTGGAATGTGTACAATGGGACCCCTGTGTCCAGAGAGATACCCAAGAACAGGAAACAGATGTCCTCATGTGTCCTGTGACATTTTGTATAAATAGCACTCTCATTGTATGTTTGGGGGAGATCACTTTTGGCTGGGTCTCTCCCAGGTCGAACCATGGCGAGCCTGGAGATGCTGTTCTTGTTAATAAATAATCCTTTTTGAAAGCAAGTCAGTGTCAACGGCAAATTTCTTCATCATCAAACATATCAACAACAAGGGAATTCACATCACCAGCGGGTAGGTATACAAACAAACCAAGGAAACATGGCAACACAGGAGGACTGAAGGCTGAGAGGTTTTCTTATACTAGTGACAAAGAGTAATCTGACAATGTGTGGGTTGACAGGACTCATACAGTATACTCTGTTTCAGTTGAGGAGCAGCTGCGTGTACAGATGAGGTGAGTGAGCTTGATAAGGTGGTAATGGTGAATACAGGGAGCAGCAAAGGTGAGGTTAGTGGAAAAAATATTTAGACCCTGTGAGAAGAACTGTGCCATTTGTCCCAGTTGTATTTAATCTACAAGGTATTCAGATCGACCTTTGCCCCCTGCTGCTTCTTCTTTCTGTCTGAGCTGAGTGTAAGTCTGTTTCCTGTGTTCTTTTTGACTGTTAACACTTTAACCACAAACCTGCCCGTCTATAACTGCTGCTCCTTTAATTAATATGAATATATTTCTGTTGGCTTGCAGTGATGGGTCATTTACTTTTGTTCCTCTGATATTCTTAATACAAACTAACAGTGATGTACCATCACACAGAGGTACTGACAACAACAGACAGGTGCTGTGTAGCTGAGGCTTATAGCCCACCTCAACTCTAGCTCTTTGCCTATTACTAGTGTAGGAGCCATGTTTAGGAAGTGTAAAAGACAGCCGCTATAACTAGGTAAGAGAAAGTATTCAATATGGCGACCGCTATTGATGAGCTTCAGGAAACAAAAGGCTGACGTCACGGAGACCACGTCCATGTTTCATACAGTCTTTGTAACAGAGTCATGTCTGGGCATAGTCTTTAATCTTCTGCGTCTCAGCTGTACTTGTTCCACCATTTAATTGGTGGAAAACAAGAGCTTGGAGCTTTGGATGCTACCACACTACAATTAAACAGTTTAGCTTCTAAAAAAACATTTGTAATTAAATACTAATGCAGTTATTTATAGTGTCGTCACCACCCAACAAATAATTCTCTGCTCTGTGAAAATCATACTATGAAATTAATTTATCATGTAATACCAAGCATGTGATAACTTAGTTAATGAAAGTACAGGACAAGTCCTGTCATTATTAATCATATCCCTCCAGTAAGAGAGACTGCATGCAATTTACAGGACAGTCAGAAACTGACAAGGGAAGGTAAGAGAGTGTGAGTAGGAGATGCATGTAATGGTTCATCATGTAGCCTGTGTCACACACTAGGTCAGTGTGTTATGATGGATGCTATTCGAGGGACAAAGGTTTTTGTGAAGCTTTGACACAACAATTTTGAGGTTGTGGAGGTGAGATTAACTGATGCCTAAAGATGTGTATAGAGCTTTGCGAAGGTGTCCTCAGTATAATACATTCAGAAAATATCACGTTACATGGTCTACAACAGGATGGACCGCAGCTTTTCTGAAATTAACCTCACAAAAAATCTGAGATTGTTATATAGCCCAGACTCAATGCAAAATAATATTTTAACCTTTTTCCACTTGAATTTACCATCATTGACTACTATAGAAACGGTGGTATCATTTTTGACTCACCCTTCAGCTTTGATAAACACATTCATTCAGTTTTTTACTTAAGAAAACTCACAAAAATCCGTAATTTTTATCAGTTAGTAATTTGAAAACAATAATTCATGCATTTATTTCATCCTGGTTAGATTTCTGCAAATCACTTTAATCTGGTCTCACACAACACAATTTATGCCACAGCCAAATCCATAACCAGGTCCAAGAAGAGAGAACACATTGCACTGGTTTTAAAAGCACTTCACCAGCACACAGTCCATTTTAGAACTTGATTTTATAACTGTAGTGATCACTTTTAAAGCCTGTAGAGGTCCAGCACCAGATTACATTGCTGACCCACTACCAGCCCCCATGCAACCTGAGATTCTCCGGTAGGTCATTGCTTACTATTCCTTGGATTAACCTAAACACTAAAGGAGACCGAGCCATTTCTGTTGGGCCCCCTAAGTTGTGGAATGACCTGCCGGAGGAGATCAGGGAAGCAAACACACTGTCTTCTTTTAAATGACTTTTAAAAACTCACTATTTTAGATTTGTTATTACAATGTGTTTTGCTAACTGTTGCTTATTGGCTTTTAATTGTATGTAGAGTGCTTTGAAACATGTTTTGAAAAGCACTGTACAAATAAAGGTATCATTATCATTGTTAATATTATTATTACAACAGAACAAAGACATGCTCATCAGGGTATTTGGTGGATCCAAATTGCCTGTAGGTGCGAGTGTGTGGTGGTTTAGCATGTCTTTCTTCCATTTTCAAATGGAGTTCAATGATACATACAGGAGATGATGATCAGTGCAGCCCCTTATTAAAAAAAGTGACCAGAGTACAGACACAGAAATACTGCTGTAACAGGTGGTGGGCAATATGTAATGTAGCCTCTTATTTAAAAAAAAATGTTTCAAGATCAATCTAATTGTACATTTTATTCTTGAATATTTCCATGGTTTTACCTTAATGGCAAATAACCCCCTCCTTGAGAACTAGCTATGGCTAGCTACATTGTACTCTCCACATGCAATGCTGCAAGGGTTAGCCTACCAATGGCAAAAAAAAAATCAGCTAGACACTTACCATGTAACATTGACATACCCAAAAATAGCACTTGGTAGGTAAATGTTTAAAAAAAATGCACCAATCAAAACAGTTCCCCTTACTCTTCTGTCATGTCCACCATCATTTTACGTATTTTCTCTTCAAACTGCAAACATGATCAGCTGAACTGCAAAAGACTGTTGTACAGATAAAAACAGTCCAAGGGCTTAATATTAAATGTTTTATATTGAACACTTTAACTGATATTTTTGTTTGTATTGGACTTTTCTGAGTATCTAAATTACATATTTCATACATCTCCTTGTATAGCAATGCATTGCTAAGCTTCTGTGTCAGACCCAGCCTGTCTGAACAGGGACTGACCTTCATCTTCTTGGGGCGGCTGTGGCGGTAGAGTCGTCGTCACTCAACTGGAAGGTCGAGGGTTTGATCTCCAGCTCCTGCAGCACCTTCAGCAAGACACTTAACCCCATATTGCTCCCACTGCTTTGACGGCGGTGTATGAATATGTATGTATGGGATTAGTTACTTCTGATGGATGATACTACATAGCAACCTCTACTATCAGGGTGTGAATGTGTAGGTGTGACATGCGGTGTAAAAGCGATTTGAGTAGTCCATTTACCATTCTGTACATACACACTTTTGGTACCTCATACAGCAGAGCTTACAAACAAATCTGCACTATTCCTTTAAATATTCCTACATAAGAAGAACCGTTTTTCTTCTTTGGTATAAGCTTCCACTATATACAGTTCTAAGAAACAGCTCGGTTCAAATTGTCTTTCTCTTTTTTAAGTCTCTTTTTGGTTTTTTATATCCTCACTGGCTGCAAAAAATACTGAACTGGTTGATCTCTGATGTTCTGATTTTGCTACATGTATTGTTTTGGTTTCTGTCTGTGTAGATATTGAAATGTAAAGTTATGTCCAGTTTATTTTACCCAGCAAGAGATTTGAACATGTCGCTTCCCACCCACCACATAGTTTTAGTCACAGTTACCTCATTTATAGATAACGATTTAAATATGATTTCAAACACACGGCATCACTGTGCTGTTCAAACTTGAAATCGAATTAAGGATGACCATCTGCGGTTTTAAATTCACCCAACAGGGGGAGTCATTCCATCACAAAAAACTGCAGAGCCTATGAATAAATAAAGTCATATTCATTATTTATAGCTGCTTTTGATGTTTAGTGAAACATTAAACTAAAATGAAACAGATGTTTGATTGTGGTTGATGAAGATCTGAAAGAGGAGGAAAATATGACAGAAAATAAAAGGGGGAAAGGAATGATGTAAACGAGGGAAGAGGAGGAGATGTTTCTCTTCAGTTGTGAGACACGGAGGAGGTTTGTGGAGGATCACATTCTCTCCGGCTCAGACTAAGAGCTGCTTGAATCATCGCTCTGATCCTCCTCCTCTCAGACAGAACGAGGAGGAGGAGGAGGAGGAGGAGGATGTGCGACTGCTTTTCAGTCCCAGATTCTACAACGACAAGAAACAACCCAGAAGTCAAGGAGAACACACATCTGTTCCTCAGGACGGCTAGAAGATGCGGGATGCTGACATTTGGTGAGTTTTTAGTGTTTATGTTCAATACCAGCTTCAACAGTTTGACTAGAGCATTAACAATAATGGAGTCTCAGAGAGGGCAAGATGATTGCTCACAAAGTGGGACAGACATAATTCATGTTCGCTAACAATCTTTTTTTTTTCCTTCAAGCTCTGAATATTATGGAAGAAGATGAGTTCTTCATAAGAAGATGATTTAGAATTTGGAAGTATCAGTTGCTTTTATTTCTGACAGAATTTCTTTATTTGGATGCTGATTCATCAAAAAGACCGTTGACCATTGGACACAGATACTGGGGTTTTGCTGCAGGACAATGTTGTATCTTCAGCTTTTTGACCAAAAGAAAATGGAGTATGAAAGAATTTCTGGACAAAAATAAAATGAAGTTTGGAAACAGTTTGAACTTTTTAATATGCAGATGACAAAGTTGGGAACCAGGTTTGCTATTTGAAGTAACAAAGATGAAGTTTGGAGGCAGTTTGTGCACCCTGAACGTTGGCGGCCGCAAGTTTTCCTTCTCAGCAGAGCTGATGAAGCGCCTCCCTCTCAGCAGACTTAGTCGACTGCATCGCTGTGTGTCGGAGAGCGAGCTATTGGAGCTCTGTGACGACTATGACCGTGACAGGAATGAATTTTTCTTTGACCGGCACTCTGAGGCCTTTAGCTTTATTATGCTGTATTTGCAGCACGGGAAGCTACGCTTCGTGCCTCACATGTGCGAGCTGTCCTTCTACAACGAGATGCTGTACTGGGGCCTGGAGAGTGGTGACCTGCAGCCCTGCTGCCAGCGACGCCTCGACGACCGCCTGTCTGACTGTTTTGTCCACTTCTTTCCTGAGGAGGAGCCACGGGGCCCTGAGGAGCCCGAGAACCGCTGGTTGGAAAGGATGAGAAGGACCTTTGAGGAGCCCACATCTTCACTGGTGGCACAGATCCTTGCCTCTGTGTCCATGCTCTTCGTGGTCATCTCCATGGTGATGCTGTGTGCTAGCACCTTACCAGACTGGAAAACCCCCGAGACCCTGGACCAGCACAGGTAGGACCTGCCTGAGCTTACCTGAGGATAAGGACGATGCAAACAACCATTCAAACACACATATTCACATGACTAGAAACCAGCACGCTTACAATGATCTAGCACGTGCTGCCTCAACAGCTTCAGTGCTCCTTGGCATTCTCCAAGTCTCTGAACTGTTCTATACTCCACCAAAAATATAAACATTATAGTTTAATGGTATTGGAGAGTACTGTCTATCAAGCAGGTATTAAGCTGAATTTAATACATCATCATAGTGTATGATCTGCATCCTTTTCATCTTTCTCAAAGCTTTCAGTAAGCCCTCCTACGGATGAGGGCATTGTTAATGTTAAGAGATTCCTCATGTAAAGAAATACATGCCAGTAAAATGTTCTCCACAGTGCAACAGATCCCTACTCTGTAGGAGTCAAACATGCAAGGATGTTTTTCCCTTAATGTCTGTAGAAAATGGGTGTTGTGCTTCAGTGTGTGTGTTTCTATGTGTATGTTTCTTTTGCTATACATTAATGCTTTAGGCTCCATTGAAACCTGTTGATGCTTCACAGTTATTGAAGTTATCACCTCAAGTACCAAGAACAGAACAGAGTTTGGACCAATATTTCCACAAGGTAATGAAAATAATTTGCAGAGACTGTTCAGAGACTCTGAACAAATCATTTTCCAGACTGCACTTTTTCTTCTCCCAAGTCCAAGAAGAGTGACCAAAAAAAACCATGATATAACAGGGGTCCAATTTAAATAAATGAAAAATAACAGAACCTCTGGACTGTAAGGCAATGGATTGATGTGGACTGGACTTAACTGAACCAAACTGGACTGTACTGGACTTAGTCCCATTGATGGCGTTCGCATTTTCAGTCAGCATTAAGACAGGCTACGAGCTTGAGTTAAGGCGGGGTCTCACGAAAACATTACATGTGGCCCATCTTTCAAACTCTTATCCTTCACATGATCAAAACGGGTCATTTATCAAAAACCCTGTAAGTGTGTGTCGATCGAGACATGAGCTTATCAGACCTGTTTCGTTTTCTGAACCAGGCTGTAAACATGTTAATCTCTGCTGTAATAACAGGATTTTTGACTGCAGCCAGCCTCTAGTGGACACTCCAACAAACTACATGATTTTGCACTTCCTCATCAGTTTCATTTTTCAACGCCAGAAGTTGCCTCTTGGTCGCTCCCAGAGGTTATGTTAGTCATCTGATGATATAGTTTTTTAGATTATTCTGAACTAAACTGAACTGGATTCAATTGATGGAACGAGCTTGGCTTAACTGCTGTAAACTGAGCGGGAAAGGATTGGGCTGTTTGGCAGAAATGCAGCTTGCATATGTTTTTTCACTATTATCATGAAGTTGCCTCTGTCTCTCTCGCCTCTCTGATTGGTCCTTGTCTCCTCTCTCTCTACTTTCTCTGATTGGTCCTTTTCTCTTGTTTATATTGCCTCTCTCTGATTAGTATTTGTTGTTCTATCCTCCATCTGACTGCTCATTGTCTTTCTCTTTCCTGCAGGATCATTGAAGCGGTGTGTATCGGTTGGTTCACAGCTGAGTGTATCATCCGTTTCCTTGTCTCTAAAGATAAATGTGAGTTTGTCCGTCGTCCTCTGAACATCATTGACCTGCTGGCCATCACACCGTACTACATCTCTGTTACTGTGACAAATCTAACAGGGGAGAACTCACAGTTGCAGCGGGCCGGAGTCACTCTGCGCGTCCTTCGCATTTTGCGTATCTTCTGGGTGATCAAGCTTGCACGTCACTTCTTGGGTTTGCAGACACTTGGCCTGACGCTGCGACGCTGCTACCGTGAGATGATGATGCTGCTGATTTTTGTTTTTGTTGCCATGGCAATCTTCAGCGCACTGGCACAGCTGCTGGAGCATGGCTTGGACCTGGAGTCTGGAAACCAGGCCTATGCCAGCATCCCTGCTGCCTCCTGGTGGGTGATCATCTCCATGACAACTGTTGGGTACGGGGACATGTACCCAGTGACCGTTGCAGGACGTGTGCTGGGTGGCCTTTGCGTAGTGAGTGGCATCGTGCTGCTGGCACTGCCCATTACCTTCATCTACCACAGCTTTATCCAATGCTACCATGAGCTCAAAGTGCGCTCTGCCCGCTGCACCCATAGCCTGTCTGCTGAGTTCATCCACTGAAAGCTGCTGAGATGTAGAAGTAACATGGAGTTTAACCTCCAGAGACAGAGACAATATGGAGGAAAACACCTGACTACTGTGATGGAGGAGCAACATGGAGTTCATTGACTCAATGGATTTTGAAGCATCCTGAAGATATCAATGTCTAACAAACTCCAAAAACAAAACAAAAAATCTCCACATCAGGTCCAACAAAGACTTTTGAAACTTTTGTTTTGACATCTGAGGAGCTTGTATGTTTGATCCATTCTGCTCAGGATTGTTTTAGTGGTAGATGTCTTAGTTTGAATTTCTAAATAGCTTCCTCTGAAGTCAGAGGACTATTATCTGACAGGAACTATTGGTGAACGATGTTGAGCACAGTTCCTTAAAGGAGTTAAGTAAAAAAAAGCTTGCATATCCACTGCATATATGAAGTCTCCAGCATTAGGAATGGACTGCTTACATGATGGTTTTCTGCAGCAAGACGTCAACCCATTTTGAAAGAGAGAGTTGTTGAAGAGGAGCAAATGGTTGGCAAATCAAGTCAAGTTCTTAAAGCCTTACAGTCAATCAGGTGACTAATTCATTGAATAAGCTATATACTCTTGGGTTTTCCACAAAGTGAGATTATTTCTATGGTGGTGTCTGACTTCAATTGTTCATTCATCAGAATAAAAAAGCAAAAAACTAATTGTGGAACGTGACAAACTCGCCACATGCTTGTGTGAAAATCCAGTGAGGTAGTGGAAGAGTAACTTAAAGAAACCAAGCTTCTTGCCACAACTTCAACCAGAATCCCTTCAGGCTAAAGCCAACAACAACTCTGACCGCTTTGGAATTGTCAACTAAATAATGTATAATAAACAAGGCTATAACAATCGCAGTGTAGCTAAATCTCACAACATCATACATCAATACAATATTACATCACCGAAAAGCTTTAGCAGAGACTTCTTAAACATCTACAGACGGACGTCATTCTAAACAACTTGTTGCAGGTTGTAATTATGTTTTTTCTTGCTTTAAAATGAGTTTTAAATATGGGGCCTGATGGAGAATATTTGGCTTTAGGAGAAAGCCTCAACTGGACACTGCAGGAACTGCAGTTATTTTGCACTTCTGCTTTGACTTTCATTTTCAAATGGCTTAAACTCTTTCAATAGTCCGAAATGAACCCAGAGAAAACGGGATGATATTAACTGTATTTCATTTTCAGGGTGAAGTCTTGTTTATGTTTTCAAAAAGAAATCACTTTAAGAAAAAGGCCAAACATTCACAACTGTTTTAACTATTTTAAGTTAAAGTAATGAATTTAGACTTAAACTTAGAAGCTTAAGGCCAATCAGGTTATGACCATGTATCCCATCTATTAACAAATGGTAAATGGACTTGAGCTTGCATAATGCTTTTCTAGTCTTCCGACTACTCAAAGCGCTTTTACATCGCAAGTAACACCCATTCACAACCACTATTAACAAATCCCATTTATTCACATTTATACGCCGCCGGCGAAGCAGCGTGAGTAACAAAAAGTGTCTTGCCCAAGGACACATCGGACATGTGGCTGCAGAAGTTGGGGATTGAACCCCCCAACCTTACGGTTGAGAGAAGATCGACTCTACTGTTGAGCCATAGACACTTATAGATATTCATTTATAGTCCCTGTGATGTTTGTGTTGACATTAAGATGACTGAAGTAGGCGGGGTTATGACATGCTCCTGTAGCCATATGTTGATGAGTCCTTGGGCATGACAATGAACCCCAAGTTGCTCCCACTGCTTCGGCGGCAGCGTATGAATGAGTATAAATGAGATTAGCTAATACACAAGCTTTGAGTGGTTGGAAGAAAAAAGGGCTATACAAGCTCTAGTCCACATACCAAGTCCATCCCTCCATCCTCCTGTGTAAACTTGATGTTGTAAGGTGCACAGTGAAAGCTTCCACTTCCTAAGATCATGTGTTAACCGAGGTATCATCATCCACTAAACAAAGTGGCTGGGGGCTAGTCCTTTGAAAGAATAAAGGGCTCTGTTCTCTGCTACCTCCAGAGAGATTGGTTGCTATTGGAAACCCAGGTGAGCTCATGGAACAGCCATGCTTCTCTGTGCCCTCACTGTACTGAAAGTAAGTGGAGTTCAAACTGCTCTTCTAATCAGTGCGGTCCACAGTCTTCTCAGAAGGTCCAATAATCACTTCCATGCACATCCAGCAACATACAAATCAACATGAGAAACACTGAAGACCTAACAAGCCAGATAATAGCCCTGTTTCAACCAAGCAAATTGGTACAATACGGCAAACGCGTTTCCACAGCCGACCATACCCTTAGCGGGGTGTAAGCCAAACAGTGTTAGCGGCATTAGCAACGTCACATCATAACAGCGCGACACAGTGTAGCCAATAAATTAAACAAAGAAGAAGACCAAGACACAGAAAACACGGGATATTTAAACATTGTGCGTTTTGTTTTTGTCCTTCATAACCACTGTGATTCTATCCTTTAGGGTGGATCGGTACCCTCGGCACCACAACAGAAGTGTATTAAAAAAGTAGGACAGTGCAGAGCAGTTATTTTGGGATTCCCAACTTTGGAAGGTGGAAATGCTAATAAAGGCGTACCATACCAAACCGAACTGCTGGGTACTGGCTTCTTGAGTGCTCTGTTATTATAATAAAACACAGCAAGCTGAATTAATTGTCTGATATTTTTATGAAAAAATCTTCAAATGACACAGACAACAACAGGGCAAAGAGGTAAAGTTTAGTGACTGTTAGCTAAATTGATGCCTAGCAGACAGCTTGTGGCTTTGAAAGTGATCATGCCTCGACACAGGCACTTACACAGGCCAATCCCAATCTCCACACTCATGGACTCTGGTACTCCGAGGGGTGTTTATAGGTGTTTAAAGACTGAGGGCTGATGTCAAATCTGTGTTTGGATCTCTGTTGCAGACTTTTCAAAATGTCATCCTTTCTGCAGAAACTTCTCTGGGGTTTTCCCAAGGTTCTTAGAAAAATATGTGAATCGTGAAACATGGTTGTCCCAAACCCCAACGTAAACAAAGAAAGCATGAATAGAGTAAATACATTAGAAATGTAATAGTAAGAGACAGCATCTAGCAACCCGCTATTGGTGGTTGCATTTTAAATGCTTGTGGAATAGTTTGTTTTCAGTCAAATGTCCTGATAGAAGGATTTCTTTGTTGACTAGCTGTAAAATATCAACAATGTGAACTTGGTTATGGTTATGGCTTTCTTTCTTTTATAAAATGTTAATGCGTGTTTCTCACTGCAATGTGTAATGTTTTAATAGTGTGTCCCATTGCGCTCAAGTTTTAAGGCGAAATTGGGTTGGGTCAAAGATTTCTCTTTGGCCTTCTTCTTAGAGGACTTCACATAAAATGTTATCTTATAGCTCCCTCCTCAGGACCATTTCCAGATGTTGGAGTCACCTCTGGACCATTTGGACACTCAGGGGTTAAACAAGCAGTCTGTAACTGGATCTGTTCCCACTGGCTTAACACCCTCCATGGTTTCCACAGTAACAGCAGACTAAGAGACAGGAAGTTGAGGCGTTGGAAATTTGGTTTTGAATGTCAGGAAGCTGAAGTGTGACTTATCTCACTGAGCACTACTCTTCTATTTATTCTTCTGCTTTTTTTGTGAAACACTGCTGGGTTTAAACAGAAGGACACTATACACCAACTCCGTTTAACCACTCACACTTTCTTTCTCTCTTTCTTGAACTTTTTCCTTGGACTTAATGACTTGATTTGTAAATCATCCTTTTATTTCTGCAATAAGCTTGTAATTTTTGATTAAAAGATTAGATCTTGGTGAGAGTCCCACTCAACCCAACATCCAACCTAACCTGTTCTCCCAATCCTAATAATCAACAGTGTTTAGAAAATGTTCCAGATTTTTTTTTTGCCAATAAAATGTAGAATGTGCTAAAGAACAAAATATCTGCATTCATGAAACATCTGCACACCTGATGAACACACATCAGTTCTTAACCAACAGGCTTGTACCTGTTTGGTAATATTTGCATTCAGAAACGCCTCCAATAAACCATATAAAGCACATCCCTATAAAAATATCTATATATTGAATATATTTCATACCTTACCAGAATAATGGCAAAGAAAAGAAACTCCACAGCAACTGGCAAAGTAAGTTACTCCAACACAAAGTGAAATGGAAAAAAAAAGTTTTTGGTTCTCTACTGCTGTGGATTTATATTGTTTTTTTTTACTTGTGGGGATAAACAAATTGATGTTTTTCTTTCTTAATTAAGCTACACAGCTATCTTTTTATTTAAGAAAAACCGGACTGTTTCCTTGATTTAATGAAATGATTAGACTTGCTTGGGTGAAAATGTACAAAAAAATAAAAAATTCAGCCGTCTTTCTGAATTAATGAGTGATTAGGAAGAATTGCCTCATAAGCTTTCTAAAGCTGTTTTGACACATGCTTTTCTAGAAAATTTTAGAATAGCCTGCCCCTGAGATTTTCCTGAGTTACCTGCACACGTCCCACACAGCGTGAAGTTTCCACTTTGGGCAGTAGGGGGGGGGGGGGGGGGGGGGGGAATGATGCTGTGAAAATCTAAGATTGAAAGCAGCAGAGTCTTAATCACTATAATATCAGTTTATGGCTTTTATATCAATGCTCCATTTAATGGACATAACCACAGAGTGGAAAAGTACATAATCAGAAGCAGTCTTAAAACATAAACGTCATCTCCTTACTGGCGTTAAATTCCCAGAATAATTCCTGCTTCACACAACCACTGGTTTTCAGAATGATGGACCTCAATGCAATACTTAAGAGGTTCATAGTAAAAACAGGGAGATTGTTCATTCAGTCCAGGTCGGTGCACAGAAATTCCACACACAAAAAAAAAATGGACGAGTTGACACACAAGGTGGGAAACGCCAGAAGCCTGAAGAAGGATGGAGACAACAAAAGAAAAAAGGAATTGAAAAAATGATAACACAAGCAATAAAATACATGACCTTAATGAGACTGAGTATAGTGTGCATACATCGGCTCACTCTGACTTTCCACAAAATCTGATTCAGGGGCTGGAAGAAAAAAAGGTCTGTATATAATATCATGTTGAAAATATTTGCTGTTTACGTTCACACATGCAGTTTACCCCGAAAATGTTAGGACATTTTCTGGAGTTTTGTGCATGTGTGAAAACACCAGAACTATTTTCAACAGGTTTTGCTGTACTGGAAATGAATGCACAATCATAGCTTCATACCTCTTAATACTCCTATAGATCCCTATATTATTCACAATCAAAATATATGGCTAGCAATATTTGGTGTAAAATGGATCTTATAAATGCAAATAGGTAATTGTTACCATACAATGCTTTTTTGTGGTAAATATGTTTTCAGAATTCAACTCCCTTGTCAATGCTGTACCAATACATTTATAAATCTAAAATAAATCTATCTCTTTATACACACCCTTCATGAATTGAACTAATTTTCATCCTAAAATGTCTTAGAATAAGGTATATTCTAAGACTTTCTATGCTGCTATAAGTTTTATATAATAATACTTTTGTATTATGTATGTTTTTGACTAACTGACAGTGTTAAAACTTCTACATAAAACAAAAGAGTGATGAATCATTTCAACAATTTGGGTGAATTTCTAAGTTTAGATTTGGCTTTGAGAGCCTTGAATGTATTTTCTGTTAAAGTGATATTGAGACAACAGAGCATCTCTTTGTTTCATGCTCTCATACCCAGTTCTGTAAACATTTAATGGAATGGTTACACAGTAGGGTATATGCAGGTATTGTTTTTTCAGTCTCTATGGTTTAACCACCTCCAAATCCCCTCTGATTCACACCAATGATTGACTGACAATACTCAGCAGTGTGTTGTAATTTGTTTCCTAGGATTGTGAAGGGATGACCCAGCCTACTCTGTATCTAATTGGCTAGTACACACTTACTAAATATGCAAGAGTATCCTTAAATGTCACTGTTTAGAACGCAGGCTGTTTATTCTCTGTTGGACGGGCCACTTAAAAAAACATTTGGGGGACAATTAAGAGTAAAGTACACTTCTTTGGACCCCACTACACCAATGGCTATACAGCAAAACAATAACAAAACATATTAGGCTATGGATCATATTAGAAATCTTTCTGGTGTCTGATAATAGACAAAAGTGTAAAATAATGGTCAAAGTTTGGCTCATTATGGCCAAATTCTGCATTCACAAAGCTAAATTTATAAGACATCCTTTTATGCTTCATTATCAATATTCAACTTTAGAATGAAAAAAAAAAGTATTTATTTCTTTGCTGGATTTGATTCCGCCCAGGCGGATAATGGACGCCCATCGGCCGTAGGTCCTTGCACACTGCTACGACGTCATCACGTCATCACGCAGCACAGTCAGTGTCGTCAGCAGGAGCGAGCCCAGCAGCAAACAAGTATATCTAAGATTACAGGTTAAATATCGGTGTGTCCGTGTTTTACCTGAGTCAAACATGTACTACAAACTAAATGGAGTGACGCAGCGGCTCACCGGTGCTCCTGCCGCCGCCTACTGCCCGCAGGTAAACCGCCATTACCGCATGACCTTGTTGGTACCGGGAGGAGGACAGCTGCTAATGCTAACGCTAAGCAGAACCAGTTCCCACTGAGGTCTAAGGATCTGTTGTGTTAAGTTATCTGTCATTTTACCCATGGAACATCTACTAAAAACAAACCATAGTCTTTGTTGACGTTGTTTCACATTTTATGTGAATTATGAAATTCAATAAACAGCAGATGATGCTCTTGTCAGTCTATCTACTAAAAAAAGATCAGATTAAAGTTTATCTCATCAACATTATACATATATCTGATAATTGATCAATCTGAAACACATAAGATTGAGTGACAAAAGATGGAAAATAGATGTCAATACTGTCCATTTACAGCTCTGTTTTTGCACATTTACATTTAATCTTTCATATTTATGACTAGTAATGCTTAGTTAAATCCTGGTTGTATATATTCTCATTCTTATTTTTGATATCTTCTAGTACTTATTTACTTTGTATTTAATATTATATTGTGTTTTTTTACTCATATTGTGTGTTTGGACAATCTGCTGCTGTAACGACACAATTTCCCAGTTTGGGATCAATAAAGTCATTCTATTCTATTCTAGACGGAGGACAGTAGAACAGACTTAAAGGCTCCTCTCAGTATCATCTTAACCTTCCTCTCACTCTTAGGGTCTGCGTCCCACTATCCCAGCCGTCAGCCCTCCTATGACCTTTGCAACTCCAACCAAGCTGGTGTCTGAAGCAGGAAGTCAAGTGGAATATCTGGGAGCCAACAAAGTCCCCCATCTCCAGAAGGCATTTCAGGTAATTACCATTCATTCATTCTACTAGCTTAGGTTATAGTTTAATATTAAAGATAGTCTTTGTATATATTCATTTTGCTTTACAATAACATAGTTTAAACATAGTTTTTGAAAAAACAACATAATCTGCTTATCTTACTTCCCTTCACACACACACACACACACACACACACACACACACACACCTGCAGTTCTCCTTTGTTTTTACACAGCGGCTTGTCCTGCCTTGCCTTATTCCGTAGTCTTTTAATTGTGTTTTCAACAATAGTCACCAGCACTAGAGACCATCGAGTACATTACCCACCTTATGAAATGTTTCAATCAGTATTCAATTATCACATCAGGGGATCTGCACTATTGATGATGGCGTGTATGATGTAATTGCAGAAAATATTTGAAAAACAGCATGATAAGGAACGGTTTTAAAATAAGACCATAATCATTGTATTTACAGGAGAGAAATCCTGTCAGTGGACCTCTCACTATCTTTTTTTCCTCAACTCGCTCTCTTACAGCCAAAAGTATACCCGGGCGACTTGTCGCGGTATCTTGCCTAAAGAAATGTATAAATACAAAAACGACATTATTTAAGTGGATAAACAAGATACCACCATAACAGAAGGGTTTAATTGACAGTAACTAACTTAATGTTTTTCAAATAATTATTAAGTTATTTGATTGGACAAGAAACATTCCATAGGTCCTGAAAAAAGGTACATTATCACCAGGACTTTTAACTATGTGTATCACTTCTCAGCCAGGTGTTCTGATGAGTACTGTTAAATAATATTACAGCAGACAGTCTTAGTCTGTATTTATTAAGCTGATAACCAAAAATCACACACGCAACCAAAACATGCATGAAAGACTGAAGCAAACATACGGTGTATGTGTATAGAAAAAGGTCTGTTCTGCTAACACATGTTTACACAAAATGTTTGTGTTGCTATGCAACAGTCCTGTGTCAGTACATTAGGGAACTAATGATGATCGAATTCTAAATTAAAGAACAATATGATGTTGGTAATAACTTTCTGCTAGCTGCTTGCTGGACTATAACAACAATATCACACTTGAGGATGTGAATGTCAGCATGTGTGAATATCTTTAAAGCATGTCCTGTGGCCTCGTGCCTGTGACAAGACATCAGCCATGATGATATTCACAACTACATCACAACCTCGAGTGTGATTCTGCTTTATTTGTGTTAACTGAGGTGTAAAATACTGACTGGACTTTGTTCTCCTGCATATGGCGTATTAATTCAAAAAAGAGGAGATGGAATCACTTTTCTTGGTGCCTAGTTGTCTGTGTCTTTTGTCTTGTGGCTTAAAATAAGAATTTATAATTTATACAATTAGCTGAAGTCCTTTTTGGAGTTGATCTTTAATAATACAGACCCTTTCGGTTGTCAAAGACATATTAGACACTCCCCTTGTGCTGTCATCAAAGCTATATACTGTTATATCACATGGTCAATTAGCACAAGTATAGTTGTAAGTTTGTTAAAGGAATGTTCAGACAAGGAAAGGTTTCCAAGCAAGAGGTAGGATGACAGAGTGAAATAGTCCTTCCTTCTTACATTAGGAAAGATAGCTCATTATGGATATTAGGTCACCAAGGTGCAAGGAAGTTGATGCCTTAGAAAGGGGAGCAAAGGCTTTGGCTGTTTTCGAAACCGCATACTATACTACTAGTACATACTGATTTGGCCAATATGCAGTATGTGAACAACTGCGAGATCTGCAGTATGCCAAAAATACCAGGATGTCATACTGATTCGGGAAAATTGTACAGTATGCATCGGACCAGTCTACCTCACGTACTGTTTCCCACAATGCAAAGTGCCAAGTCAGAGATCAAAATGCCGGAGTGCAGCTGTTTGAACTCGTCGGTGGCGGTGACTGAATATCTTGCCACATTATGAACCAATAACAAATATGACATGTTCATATATTTATAAGTCTTACCACCTCGGATTTTCCTGCTTTGTAGACTGTACAGTTCATGTGCCAC